ACGAAAGAACCCGCCTTATGAAGCGGCAGCCCTTGTAGAAAGACTTGAGAGAGTCCTCGGAGACTTGAGGACATCCTGACACGCCAAGTTTGTTCCATCGGTTTAGGGTTTAGGGAATAGCTGTCCTCGTATACCAACAGTCTGGGCATCATGCAGCAGCTCAGCCAAAGCCTTGAACATTCCGGGCATCAAGCACGTTCACGCCGCACAAATTTGGAAGCGCGGGGCATCGCATGAACGATCGGACAGTGAAGCCGCGCTCCCAGCGAAAAGTATGTCACCTGAGCGCCGACCATGACGTGCAATATCTATATACCATTGCGATGCACACTCAACTTCGGCGTTTGCATGGATTTGCTAAGACTGCTACGAGAACGCGGCTGCATTGGAGATTTCGCAACTTTGGGTTGTCAAAGTCTCATGGGGATCCCATGGGGCGATGAGCGTACACGGAGTGGGTCACAGAGGCAGTTCAATTAATTCTCATCTAGGTAGACGACTAAAAGAAAATCCGGACCCACGGGACAAACGCAAACTCGAATTCCTGTGTCGCAAAAGTAGCAATACCCTCCCAAGCTCCAAGATTCTATAGCATTAAAAACCACCAAGAACCCAAACAACAGAAAGAACCTCCGGTTCATGCCCCTGTGTCGTTTTCCTATTCGTGAACTTTCTCTTGTGTCTTGAACTCGCCGCGCGTCGCGTGTCGCATGAACTCAGACCAGGCCGATACTAATCGGTTGCTGCCGGCTAAAAATGCAATGGAAGCTCTTCACCCAATGCACTCCACTCTACAACACGTTAGCAAAGGTGAACAAGAAACAGTGGCAAGACAGAAAGAATGATGGGCTTCCAGCCGACCGCAGTGCGATGGCTGCTGGATTCCGATTATGCTGCCTGGCAGGAAAACGCAGGAAAGCCATTCCAATAGCCGTGCTACTAGCCATCACAGTCACTACACTGCGCGCGGCATTGCGCCGTAGATGCTCATGATGCTCTTTTTGCCAGCTCTCTTTGCGTGCGCCTCCTTGGCACCAAAGGCTCTGGCCTGGAGTTGCTCGGCCACAAACAGACAATGGTTTAGGGTTTAGGGAATGCTAAGATGAACAAGTTGCAGCTTTAGCCTGGGTAGGCAAAGGTAGGTCCGAGGCAACTCGATCGGCATGTTCGAGCTGTAACCGCTGATCGAGGAAAGCACCTACCATCACGTGTGCGTCAGCGGCACAAGAAGCACGATGCCTTGATGCCTTCTCGGCACGACTGCCCTCGCAGCTGAACCCCAAAGACAGCATGTGCCTGGTCGAGTTGTCTCGCGGCAAAAGCCTCGTCCTGCCGATCCCCTCGATTGCACGACCTGATGCTCGAGGAGGCAACGTGGCGTCATCTTGCAAGACTAGAGTTATCTGCAATGAACCACACCTTGAGGCTCATTCTGCACCCGGCCTTGGGAAGAGTCCTTCTGACAAAGCGCAGTTGCGAAGGACCTCAGAAACAACTGAAAGTGTTGGCCTACTTAGCTGAGCGGCGCCCCCTTCTGTTTACGTGTACGAAACCCTTCGAGAAGCGGCTTCTTTTTTTGGCCTGAAAATGGGCGGTTGGAGTGAGGGGTCAGAAGCTGCAGTATCTGTGGTCGGCTTTTGCGCGCATGTCTCCGTCGGCGATTTTCAGGCTGCGCCGACAAAGCTGCAATGGTTCAAGGCAGTCGTGCCAACAGTAGATTGCGGTGTAATTACAGCACAGCGTTCGCAGCTAAAGCATTGAAGATAAGGAGTAAGGGTTCAGGGGTATGGCTGTAGGGTTTGGGGCGAAGGGTAGCACAGGGTACGTAGCATGAACTGTACGGACTTTATCATCGCGGGCATACACGGTATCAACGTGCAGGGATAGATGCTCTGGCCAACGGGTGCACTGATAGCATGGACAATTAACTATTCTCGTGTGGGCCATGTCAGTAAGCCCCGGCCAGAGGATGTTCTGGTGATCACTGGTGGCATGGGATGCTTAGGATGCTCTGGCCAATGGGTGTCTTGGTACTGTGGCAGCGGCCATGGATGCTTTGGCTCTGGCCAAACTGGCCAAGGGGCGCCATGGATGTTGTCATCGTGCGGGCATCGGTGCCCTCCCCACTCCCAAACCCTGAAAACGAGAACAAGTGCGGCGGGAAAACGTCGCTGCCGAGCTACTTTCATGTTTGTCCGAAGATCTCTGTTGGCGATTTGGCAGGGCACTACCCACTTGTCACTGGACTCGACCTCTTGGCTGGGCGAGCTTACAGCATCGTCAGGTCCTAGCTAAACTGTGCTTGACGTCTTGGCAGGGCTATCGGAAGCCTTGCTGCACCGCACTTCCGAAGAACATCATTCGGTCTTGGGGCAGACATGGCACTTCGCCTGCCCGACCGGGAGGTGGGGGGGTGGGGCTTCTTTCCCTCAAGCGTCTCCCGGGTGATTCGATCCTGCCTGCAACTTCTGGTGCATTCTCAATCTTCAGGGCCCGATGTGGCAAGCCACCCGACAAGCGAAACATTGGGCATTCCGGGGCAATGCCCGGGCATTTGCAGACCTTGAGTGCTGAATCGCAAAAGTTCGAAGTGTGACTTCATGTGACTGGCCGCTGATTGCACAGAACACGTCCACCATGTTCGGGTGGGAGAAGCCATATGCATAGACGAAGATCATCGAAGATCACGGCTCACGAACAAATCCTGGCAGACCCAGCCCGGGCCTGAGGCATTTCACTGGTTCTTTCGCTTCTCTTGTCTCCATTAAACATTCTAGCCTGCTTTGATCTATCAGCCATTTCTTGTGCACACGATTCTGCTTCGGCCGCACTGTGTCTTTCATGAGACCAAATGCGCACGCACAGTACAGTCACACCCTACAGCACAAAGCCAAGCAACTTGAGTGTGCACTGACGGACGAAGTCATGTGTGGCTTCTGTCATCCATTGCATGCTCACCACACACACACCACACAAGGATGACATATCATATACCCTGTTGAGGTATGCCGAAACGTGTGATCCGTGTAGGATCTCTCCCTACTGGTACGACAGGCACACTACCAGAGCAGCGAAATGTGCGCATGGGCATTCAAGTAAAAAGATGTTGAAAAGTTGAAGAACACCCGAAGCTCTGCATCTGAGTGCAGCTCGTGAGATACCGCACAACCCAAAGCAGACACGACGCTACCTATACACATGCTGGCTGGCTAGCATACGTGACTGAGAAGATCTGCGATTCTGGGGTGCACCTCCTTTGCGGAGCCATTCCGTCATAAAAGACATGAACACTTGAGTTCTGCAAGGACCCGACGAGCGTCTGCAGCAAGGTTCGTCCAGCCAAAAGCATCTTGCGGCATCTATTCAGTCTACTCGCAACCGCTGCTATTGCTGTTCTACTTGGCGAACGTTTACCGCACGTTGGCAACAAGAAAGGTCTCTCGCCGGCTCTCGTGCCATATGACCGCCTCCAGCTCCGCATCCTGCAAACCAAGACCTGGCCGCGGCCAAAAATTCAGGGTTTGTAGGGTTTAGGGTTTAGCAGCAACTCCCGAAATTACTGCTTCTTGCCCTCAAGCTTCAGCCATGCTCAGCCGCTCCCGTCCCTTAAAACACCAAGTGAAAGTTCACGGCTTATCCGTGCGCAGCGGCTGCGACTGCTACAAGTACGACCATGCACTCTAAGGAGTGCCTCCCTCATGCAAACCACGCGGATGAACGTCCGGATTGATGAAGTTCATTACACCGAACCAAGGGAGTATGTCAGAAACATGCCTGAACTGGAGCACCACAAGGTCAGGGAGGTGAAGCGGCTGAAGAGCGGCAGAGCCTGGGGGCAGAGAAAATCACAACCGACAGGCCAAACCAAGTTTTTTTCGGGTTTAGGGGGGGTGCGGGCCAGAGACTCAACAACTGCACTGCTTGGCCTCGAAGACTCGAAGCACTGCGACGATGCTTTTTTTCGTTCTTCATGATATGGGGGTTTCCGAGATTAGGGGGTACCTTCTTTCAGGTCCTTAATATAAGGGAGTCCTACTGTTTGGGGGTCTAAATTCGGGGTCCCTTGTTCAAAAGTTCTCCTAAACCCCCATACGTTCATGATAGCAAGTGGCCATACAGGCCTCAGCGAGGCATCCAGCCGAAGCAACACCAGGCGGACGCAGTTCCTTCCAATAGAACTCAGAGCCGCCTGCACCACGCACGCTAGCTTGAGTGCCCAATTTTGGCTCTTCCGTTCAGGGTTTAGGGTTTGGGGTTGCGAACTCTTGACCAGCGGCCCTCAATGCCTGATCTGTATCGCGCTGTGGCAAGGCGACCGCCAGCTGCTCCAACATGGTGCATTTAGCAGCAACGGCCTGGTCTGTAGTGTGCGGGTAGTACATGTGGGGGTTTCCGATACTACATATTGGGGTCCTTATTACAAGGGATCCTGCTACTTGGTTCTTGGGGGTCTGTATTCGGGGTCCCTTATGATCGCAAACCCCCCCATGTGAGTTTCTTGCTCTGAGGGTGGGCATGCCAAAGCCTCGAGAGCAGATGCGTAGGCAACATCCTTTATATCGTCCAACAGCAGCTGCTCCAAGTTCGCACCATAAGCAGAAACCTTGGGGCACACATCGAACTCTCTTTCCATGCCTGTCAAGACAGACCCGCTGAAGAATACTACAGCTTGGCTTCTTGCGATGTTCTATAGAGATGGCAGACCTTGCGGCACCGCAGGTGCCTTGGAGATGTGCGCACACAGCCTGCAAGCAAGATGCAGATGCAGATGCGCGAGCGATTTGCTGAGTCTGGAAGCCGGCCACTCCCTGTCGCCACGGGGTACGGGCACGGGCCCGAGGTTCTGCAAGAGCTCAGCCAATATCTCTGCAAACCGAAGTCGCCAAACCATCTCCCCAGCCTGGCTTGAATCGTCACCTGGAGAAACATGACTATCAGGGCCAGTCGAGCATCTGCCGGTTCACCAGTTGCACGTTAGTTAGACATGTGCCTTACTAGGAATGGCGAAGAGCCCCTGCCTGCGTTGGCAGAAGGTGGAAGCAGCATGGAAGGTGGTTCGGGCGGCAAACAAGAAGGCAACCTCAGGGCAACCCTTTTGGATACAGGATGCGGTGCTTGCTGCTGAGCACTACTGCGTGATCAGATCTGTGCCCAACACCAGTTCGGAGGTAGCGGAGACAGGGACGCACTCGACTCCTCGGAATCTCTTGGGTTCGTGTGGGAAGCACAAGCCTTCATCACAAGAGCCGCACCCAGTGCTGCTGACGTTGTTCGTGGCAATGCCGGCATCTGTCCCCAAGGCTCAGTTCGAGTGCATCACCAAAATCTTCGGCGCTTGAAACCTAGTACTCTTGGGCAAGATCCTCTTGGTACCCAACAATGCGATTTGGTCAACAACTTTGCAGATACGAAAGTGCAAATGCAAGCCATGAAGGCACAGAAGCACTTGGGCTTCCGGCCTAGCACAATGGCACCAAGATGATCCAGTTCCAGAGGCGGCCGTGAATCCTCATGAGATACAGAGGGGGTCTGTCCTACTCTTTGGCTCATGTTGGTCTGCGCCACTCATCCCGCAAAAAAAACTTAGTGGGGGCATGCCAAGGAGGCGGTGCGTAACACATTCGCGCCACGAACCAACCCCCCACGTGCTAGAATCTGCTAGAATGCATTTCGACCTCTAAGTAACCTGCCATCACGGCCCATGCTGACAGGTCAGGCTCCAACTTGCTGCGGCAACAGCATAGATTCCATGTGGTGATGAGGGAGCAGGCCAGGGAAGTGCACCAACAGGGCGGAAGGACGGACAGCCAACTGAAAGGAAAGCTTTGGCGGGGCAAAGTCGTGTGGCGATGTATCGTTTCAATAGCAAGCGTGCCCGCACAAGCCTCAAGCCCTTAAGTTCCGATATTCTCAGAGTATCAAGAGCATCAGACCTTAGGAGGCAGATCACTGGACGATCCATGAGATCACACCACACTGACTCACGTTACGCTCGTGGGGTCCCCATGCACGTAACACAACAAGTGTTCTACTCAGGTCACTAGACGATCCACGTGCTCACACCACTGTTTGGCATTACGCTGGTGGGGTCCCCCGTACACGTAACACAATACGTGTTCGACTCAGGTCACAGGACGATCCATGGGCTCGCACCACCCATGGGCTCACACCACTGACTGGCGTTACGTTCGTAGGGGCCCCGTATACGTGACGCAACACGTGTTCGACTCAGGTCACTGGGCGATCCATGGGCTCACACCACTGACTGGCGTTACGCTCGTGGGGTCCCCGTACACAACACGGGCATCAACCTTTCGGCGGAGCTCTCTTTGTAGGCCTGGTTGCTGCTCTGGGCTTTATTGGGAAGAAGACTCTGCTCCGGTCCGTGCTTGGATGTGAAACATCTGGAGGAGAACAAGTAGCGAGTGTGGGGATGTTGGATATGAAGGCCCGCATTGCGCAGAAGGCAGTAAGATGCAGCAAGAGTAAACGGTCCTGCAAGGCGAGACAAGAAGGCTCAGCACGTGACTGCATAATTGCTTCGAAAGCTCACATCAGAGATCTCGGCGCTTCGCACCTCGCAGGACTGCGTCTCAAGCATGTCGCATGACGTCAAGAAGAAGCATGTGACTGCTTGGGGCCCGCCACAGAGCATCTGCAACTTGGAGCAGGACGTCACAAGGGAAAGAATTCCAGCATCTGAGAGCTTCATAGCCCGTCAGGCAGACACAATCGCACTTGCCCTCCCCAAAGTGCCACAGTTTAGAATTTGGAACAACGAAGACTTGCTGGTGAACGACTCAAAGACTAGCATGTGATCTCTTGTCCGAAATTCGGAGAGGCTCGGAGAGTCTATAAGTCTTAATTGAGAGTGGTGACCCAAAACAGGCCGGCACTGCCCAACATCGACAACCTCGAGCTGAGGTGCTCGCTTTGCGATGCATTCAAGGCCCCGGTCACTGACATTTGTACTCGACCTGGGCGAACACAGCGCATGCAACATTGGAGCATGGCAGACTAATAAGTTGGGATATTCCCCCTTATACTAACAGTCCTTAATGGGGATTATAATAGGGGGTCATGTATTGCCTATGAAGGACTGTAGTATAAAGGGGAACATCCCAACTTGCACGGCTCGTCTGGCTGCAGGCCCGTTTCATCTGGCTTTCCTGAGCATGCTGCGAGCGTAGTTCGCGAAGCAGGGAATTGGGCTGAGCCTCGCAGGCGCAAAGACTGACCTTATGTAAACTTCTACCGAGCCCGGCGTGAACTTGCGGTGACTCGAATGGAAGGTCCGAAACCTGCGAGCAGAACGATAAACCCAGCGCTTGCAAGCCGAAGTGAAAGAGAAGCTCGGAAGCCACCTGCGACGCATGCGATCACAGTCCTATGCTAGAAAGTGCCGTCAGCTACCGTGCGATCCTGAAGTTGCAGAACATCATTGTTCTAAGGTCCCGCAGTCACAAAGCCTATACTTCTGCAGGCCGATGCCACGAAGGGTACTTCCATTGCTAGATGGAGTTGCCCTCTCGGCAAGGCGCCTCGTCAGTGACCGTACCGTGACAGTACGCAAGACCAAGGGTCCTCCATGCTGTTTGTGCTTCTGGGGCTTGTGCTCAAGCATTCTGTGTGCCTGCTTGCAACTACTTCAAGGTGGAGCCATAAAGCACATCTAGAGCTCGGAATTGGAGCTTTTTCTTGCCGCTGTGCCTCAAATTTGCGGCGAAGAGTGTCAACACAGTCGTCAGAGCAGGACTGGACCTAGCTGCCTTGAAGGGGGGCTAGTTTTTGTTCACCGGGCGCAAAAGAGAGCCCGGAAACCCCTTAGAACTTGTGAAGCTATATGGAACTCACCCGTCACCAGATAACTCTCTCGAGTCTCGGTTTCTCAATTGACTTCTCGCCCGTCCGTCCTCAGGTATGGTGCTCCTTTGAACACTTTGAACACGTAGCCCATGAGGCCCTGCATGAAACGTAGAGGGAGCATATCTGACCATGTGCGGCTAATGCAAGCCACATGTGCCAACAGGGCCGAACATGGCCAAGAACTGTGTGGAAAGTCCCCTAAACCCTAAACCCTAAACCCTGAACCCTAAACCCAAAACCCCAAACCTCCCACGAAGGGGCCTCAGCCGTGATTTGACCGCATTTTCTAACGGAAAGCTCCCGGAGCCCCAGCAAGCCGGCCAGCGGAGGCTTTCACCTCATAGGCTTAGGGTTTAGGGTTTAGGGTTTAGGGTTTAGGGTTTAGGGTTTAGGGTTTAGGGTTTAGGGTTTAGGGTTTAGGGTTTAGGGTTTAGGGTTTAGGGTTTAGGGTTTAGGGTTTAAGGTTTAGGTAGGCAGGCTGGAGCAACTGGCCTGCAGTCTTCGTGCTGCCTCTTCCTCCTGTCGTGCAGCTGCAAGGGATCACGTACGACAGTTCACTTTGCTGCTGTCTCAGATCACGCACTCTCAATCCTGAGACCCTAAACCCATAACCCTCAAGCCCCTAAACCCTAAACCCTAACACAGACTGAGGCCACGGCGAAGAAAATCCGAACATGACAGCGGTCGAAATCCCAAGCTTGACCTCGATTCTTGCCCGTGAGGATGTGCGCCTTCCCAGGGATCGGCTTAGGGTCTCCAAGTTTGCACGAGCGCTGCTTGCTCTGCCTGCCGAAGGGCATCAAGAGGGTGGATTCAAGATGCCGGCCAGCTTGACCGCCTCAATGCGCGACTTGCTGCACAGGTTGCCGCACAACTGGCTCCAGCACGCTGCAAGGACAGAGCCTACAAAATCTAAGCTCGGGACAACTTCTGACAGTTGCGGTCGCTCCTGGCACCAATATGGAACCAAGACTAACATTAAGTTGGTCAAAGTTATGGCTTCCATCGTGAACCTTCAATGAGCGAATGCCAAAACCGGCTGGTGGTGCTAATGGATGCAACATGAGGGGTGTCGCTTTCAAGTGTCCCCATCGTTTTACAGGGTTTTAACATCAATCATCCACGCTTGATGTCTGCAGTTGTCGCTTTGGGAAATTCAAGGCTATAGCACACCCAGCAGCTCATTGACTCAGGGGTGTCGCTTTTCAAGTGTTCCCATCGTTTTACAGGGTTTTGGGCATTCATGTCCAATGGCTGGGGGTTTTGGCGCTTGCTCACATGGTAATTAGTGGCAGCGCGTAGTCTGCCAGTGGTCACATTTCAGGGCCTATGAATACCAGCTTGAAACCCCGTGCTGCTGAAGGTCGAGGCTTGGTGTTCTGTTGCGATTAGAAGAACACGCAACCTGCACAACCAGCACGTAGTGCAGCTTGCCGGCGCCTCCACGGGCCCGCAACACCGGCAGGCGAGCTCCCCAACCGACTTGGCCACGTCGAGGTCCCAGTCAGGCGAGACCCGGCGTCGGAGCTGCTCCATGTCGGGGGCGCTGTAGGACCTGGGCTGCGAACGAACCATGTGCTGTAGAAACCCAAAGACAGTTAACTACAGCTCCTCAATCGGTTCTGTGGCCATGTCTCCCTGCGCCCTAATTCAACGAACTGGTTCCTGCTGGGCACCAAATACTTCCAACCTTGCGAGGTTTCCTGAGTCGAGTGGGCTCTACTCACCAATTGCCGCAACTCGAAGTCTGCTCCAGAAGCCTAGACGCCGTGGACACGCAAGGAACCTGTTAAACACCTTTGATTGCTGGAAGTTCTTGAGTGCGTTGGGCACTACAGGAAAACTTCCGCAGTTTTGACGCTGGTCAAGCCCCTGCTATTCCCTTCTCACCATCCGTATTCTGACTATTCTGATATTATGTATTCCTTCTCTTTGTTCGTCTTCTTGCTCTTTTTCTCTACTTATTCTCCTTCTCCGTGGGCGTGACGGTCCCGAGCGGACCCTTTTTTTCTGCGTGTTTGACAGGCGAAACCCCTGTCTCTACCTCTCGCCCTCTCCCTCTCCGTCTTCGCCTGCTTCTCCTCCTCCTTCTCCTTCTCCTTCTCCTTCTCCTTCTGCTTCTTTTTCTTCTGCTCGTCCAGGCTATGCCATCCATTCAACTCCCAAAGCGGCCTGTGAAGATCCGACGCCCCACGGGACAACCAAAACTCCTGGTCCACCCATTCAACTCCCAAAGCATGGGGATTCCCTGCCCCACCTGCCCAGCAGGGTCGGGCCAGCGAAGATTCCCTGGTCCACCCACTCAACTCCCAAAGCGGCTGAGGACTCAATGCCCCACCTGCCCAGCAGGGTCGGGCCAACGAAAATTCCTCTTCCACCCAAACAACCCCCAGAAGTGGCCGGTGAAGATTCCCTGCCCCACCTGCCCGGCAGGGTCAGGCCAACGAAGATTCCATGCCCCGCCTGCCCAGCA